GCAAGTTGGTAAAGCCAGGTTGTAAACACATAACTAGTGTCAGTTTCAAACACCATAACAAAACAGACTACATATACATGTACATGTTGCTTTATTGTGATCCTGATTACTGTTTACACTGCATTTCTGAAATAGCTCCCATATTGCAATACCAGGATATATATTCACTCAAATGTTTTTTTTTCCTTCTGAGGTAGAGATTTGTCTAGATCAGCCCACACATATTCAATAAATTTAATATTCAGTGACATTCACAAACATGAGAGTGCTTAGTGCATTATGTGGGCTTTAGTTCAGTATGTCTTTGTTATGCATTTTGATCTATGTTTCACTGTCTTTTTTGTCTATGGCAAGTACCGATGTGGCCTTTATTGTAGTGTTTATTTACATGCATGTTACTGTGTTTCTTAGCAAAAAAATGAAGGTAGTCCTTGGAGCTCACTCGCGCTCAAAACCTGAGAAAGAGAAAAAGGAATTTACTGTCACTCAAGCAGTGACTCATCCCCGTTTTGATAATAAAACTTTAGTAAATGACCTCATGCTTTTGCAGGTAACATATTTCATATCCTTTTGCGTTTCCGTAATGAGTGTTACTGCATGTTTAATATCCAGAGGTATAATGCATTTAATACTAGAAAGAATATATTGATTTTTTGTATCGCAGACATTACAAATATAAACACTTACCCACGTTCTGATAAACTATCCATTTGAAGGAATCTGGTTATTAATGCCCTCTACAAAAGATAACTAGATGCCTGCATTTCAGTTTCACTCATCTGACAGGTTTAAAATCTAGAATATAATATGAAATAGTTAACACCCAACCTCACACCACAGTATTCCTCACAAAACACAAATAATATTACTGTATATATCTAAAACAAAAGAGAGTTACTTCATTTAATTGTATCTGCTTTGATTAATCAGATTTCTTTTTCTTTTTTTTTTACAGCTGAAGGAAACAGTTAAACCTAACAAGTCCATCTCCACACTGAATGTGCCTGAACAATTCCATGATGTCAAATCAGGGAGCAATTGCACAATAGCTGGTTGGGGAACCACTAGCAACAGAGACAACCAAGGCTCAGATGTCCTGATGGAAGTCGATGTTGTAGCCATCGATAGAAAGAAATGCAATGGGAAAAACTACTTTAACTTGAATCCTGTAATTACCCAAGACATGCTTTGTGCTGGTGGTAAGAGAGGAAAAAAAGATTCTTGTAAGGTACGAGTTCCCTTCGGTTCAGTCATTCTTCTAATCAACAGACATTAACATACAGGGACCAATACGTACAGCTGTTCAGTCTTTCAGATATTCTTGATATTGTAACGTTATTCAATTTTTGATTGACTAAATGTTCATGGTCAGCTTGGTACCCAATCATATTTCTCTGTTCTGCTCAAGGGTGGCTCCAGTGATTCTGCTATTTGATTGGCACAAATGTTATAACCGTTTTAAAATACAGTACTCATCCTAACATATTTCAATTCTGACGATGATTTTGATGTTCATTTTTTCTGCCACTTCCATCATTTTGATGCAACTATCCAGTTATTGGCAATATTTAAGAGGATGAGCAGTTGTACAAGCATACACTTTTCCAGCTTACTATTTTTTCAATGCTTATGTCAGTGCACTGTATTAACTAAAAACCTTCTCCTCCGACAGGGTGATTCCGGAGGTCCTCTCATCTGTAATAAGAAATTTGTAGCTGTTGCTTCATTTGGTTATAAAGGTCAATGTGGCAAGAAGCCTGGAGTATATACTCTGCTGACCAAGAAATATATCCAGTGGATTCGAAAGGTAACAGGGGGAGATGCATAAAAAGCAGCAGTTTATTTAGGTGAAACAAATATGTACGGTCAATGCATTTTGTGAAGTTTTTTTTTTCTGTAAACTTCAGAACGATAGATATCTTTAACAAGGTTGCTATTGAACAACAATTTGTTTTTCCTTTTAAAGGTCCTTATCAAGCAGAAAATATGCAAAACTGTGATAAATTCTCATTTTGAAAAGAGTCTCAAAATTAATTAATTTTAGAATTTCTTAATATATCTGCATAATGATTTGATAAGCATGGAATATGTATTGCCTCAATGTATTATCCTTTTCCTTGTAAGATGCCTCTTTGTATTTGTGTTTAAATTTTAATACTTCTGTGTTAGGCTTAGTCTTATTAGAATATATATATATTCTATTACATAATTTAAGAAGCATAAATATTTTATATAATAAAAATAAAAATGAGAAAGAAAGTAATTCAGACTCCATTTTGTGAAATTTGTCCAAGTATTCTACTTGTTTTTAAAGGGTATTTTGGAGACGTAGTCACGTGTAAATACCAACTACTAATTAATTCAGGTGGGTAGCTGCGTCAGCATGCGTAGACTGCAAAGGAACAATAGGTTTATTCCATGCTGAAAAAAAGAAAACAACGTTTCGGCCGTAGGGCTTCAGTAGGCCCCACGGCCGAAACGTTGTTTTCTTTCTTCTTTTTTTCAGCATGGAATAAATCTATTACTTATTCCTTTGTAACTACTTATTAATGCCAAACAAACAATCCCACATGCTTTACTATTGTTACAAATGGGCGGTTACGAAATTGGTGAAAATCAGAATTTAACCAAGCGGTTTAGTCAATACGTGAATAATTATTCATAACCCCCAACTTGTAAGTGTGCGACAGAGGACTCTAGGCACGAGTAGTACAGGAACATCACACAAATACACACATCCCACCAACCAGTTGCTAGCTAGCTCCAGAGGGTGCACACTCAGGACTTGACTGGTGACTTAGTTCGTTAATTTGAGTCATAGTGGCATCCAGATTCATACCCATATAAGCATACATGTTGATTGTATTGTCCGTTTTTATGCTGCGATCGTGTGAACGGAGAGCGCTCTCAGTTTGTGTGGTACTTACAGCTTGTTTGCTGTTTGAGACTTCCTGGTTCTATGGTGGCTCCAAAGGTCCAAACCTGATCCGTACTTCTAAAAGGCATGTTTATAGCGTGTAAAGGAAAACACACAGGCAGGTATGAATGGGAAGATTCCATCTGTAATTTTACTTGGGGAAAGGGTAAAAAAGGAAGCAGTAGAAAGTTTTTGGATACATCTGTTTTTTCTTTCTTTTGTTTCAGAAATTATTATGACCTGACTGAATGAATTGTAAAACATTTTGTGTGTAAAATCAAAGAGAATTAGGATAATGGCTGATTCCAGGGGGGAGCGGTTTACAAATATATAAGGTGGTCCCCAGGGCAGAAGAGGTTAGTTGAGTTGGACGTTCAGGAATGAAGGATTAAAAGTGTCAGAGTTCTACCTGGATTTTTTTGTCTTTTTGTATTTTTCTTGTTGTGAAGAAGAGCAATGTAAATAAATTGTGCTTTGATATAACTGAGTGCTTTATGGCAGTGCCATCAATTGGGGAAAAGGAACTGCTTTGGCCACTGCTTGGGTCATTTTGTGACAAAGTGATTTCTAGCAATATTCCCCAGTGGTTTGTATAATTAGAGGCATGTGAATATTTTATTATCTGGCACAGCTTTGCTGATAGGAGTAATAATCCAGGCACACTTGGTTAAACAAACATTTATTACAATGACAAAACACAAACTACACTACACACAAGTTACTCTATGTACAGTATTTACAAACAAGGTGTTTCAGAGGCCTAAGATTCTGGTCACCCAGAAATCCCCAGACTGCTATTAAACATTAAACTCTTAATATGCCTACAAAGGCCACACAAGAGATGCCTTCTAACTAACTCTCTCTCTCTGCACTCTGGATGCCACAAAATAAATGGGAGCCTATATCCCTATCCATAAAAATGCATCTTAAGCAGGATAGATATTTCTAACTGAGTTATCTTTTACCCAGGAAACCCAAGTAACCTAAAACCATGCTCTCTCTACTTAAGTTCAAATACTAAGCTCCAGTCAGGTTGGTTTGGATGATCAAGAAGTAGGGGCTCTTCCTGGCACAAGCTTCAAGTCCCAACTCCAACAGACTTCTCCCTGATCCTCCTTGTTTCTTCCTCCCTTTTCTTGTGCTCTTAATGTGATCTTAAATTGTGTATGTCTGTACTGCTCCTTGACAATGATTAATCCACAGTTTACCTAGGTACTGTATACTAAGGTAAACTTTACAATTGTTTCTGCTCAAGGAATGTTAGAAGCATTTAACCTTCCAAGTGTCACAGACTAAAATCTAAAAGACACTTCTCAGTCACCTAAAGCTGTAACACTATTTTATGTCTTGTGTCCTACCTTACTCTTGATAATGTCTGTAAATGTATGTCCTTTGCACTGTCAATTGTTTTAATTCTTAAAGAGTACTGTTTGAAATTTTGCAAATGCCATCTACAGAAAACAATGTTCCTTGTTCTTTAATGTAACCTCATCTTTTACTAACATCTTTTCTCTTACACAATATGCTATAGACATTGTGATGTTAACCCAGTAGGTCCTGCTTTTAGGAGGAAATCTATGTTATAGTTTTCACATTACATTTTAAAAGAGGAGACTGTTAGTCGCCTAACAAATTAGATAACTAGCAAAAGTAGAGATTAGAGTAAGAACAAATAAAAATATTGTTCTTCAAAATTACCTTTTCAATGGTATTTTATGCTGAGATGTAATATAATTAATCCCTGGATAGTGATACATTTGCATCTGCATACTCATTTTCAAAAGTGTTTTAAATAAATAATTGAGGCAATGAAAGCTCAACCTGCACTGCATTTTACAGTATGTGCATGGCTACAGGAATAACCAATAACAAGGCCATGAGACACATCACTATTCTACAGTACATAGTCTCCATACCTGTTCAGGTATATGTGTCAGTGCAACACCAATGTGATACCAGGTCAGATCATGAGGTGGGTTGTCCTATACTGTATCTCCCACCCTCAATGCTGTAAGCACGTACAGGTGTTGTTACCAGTATGTGATTATTGTGTAGCAGATTGTTTCCAGTGAAAGGCCTCTCACAACTGGACCAGTGCTCAGCATTCACATAATGCTGGAGCTGTTCTGAATGTCTTTACAGAAGTGGTTGATGGGTGTTCCTAGCTCAGTTCTAGTATAATGATTCACTCAGGTTCCATCTTCCACAGTGAAATGTGAACTACTGTACATGAAGTGCTTCCTTTTTAATGGAAGTGTGTCAAATATAGGAGAAAAAGATCCATCTCACCCCATTTGTGAACAGCTGTGTGCTGCTTTGGTACCCAGTGAGTGCACAATCTCTAGCTTCTTAGATGCCAAGTGTGTGATAGCCAGGAGTTTATTTGCAATGACAGCAAGGTACACAGAACTGTCTTCAGTGCCATACCTATTCACACTTTGCTAGGGTAACTCCTATTTGACTGTTTTGTCACCGTCCTTTTTGATATTCCTTTGCCTTTCATAAAATTGCTTGTGAAAACAAAACTGTCATTCTGCGAGTGAAGTATTCCACAAATTCATTCATATTGCCCAACAAGAAAAAATGCAAGTTTTGCTGCAAGGCAATGTCATTTAGGGAAACCTTCTCAATATTGTGCAAGTGATTAAAAAAGGCTCAGTGTGACTCCACAGGTTTATGACTGACTGACTCATATCATGCCAGTAATTGTGCTTACTCAGACCTCCTACAGGGTGGGCTTCTGTGTTTCACTATCAGTAAAAAAATCATCAAAACTATTTCCCCCAGAAGGTGTCCATCTCCGGTTCATCAAATGGATAAATAAGCTTAGATATTTTTTTAGGGTTAATAACATATTCTTTTTATGGGAGTTAAGATTTCACCTCAGTGAAATATCAGTGTAAATCTATTATTCAATGTCAGAAAATACATATTTCATTTATTTTAAATGACAGTGAAAGGATGGGGAAGTGTGTTACAAGTAAAACTTGTCATCATCATTTTCTAACTGCTTACTCCCTGAGAGGGTCCTGGTGGTAACAGGCTGAGCAGAGTAGACCACACTTCCTATTCCCCAATAATATTCTCCAGGTCCTCCTGAGGGACTCCCAGGGAATCCCAGGTCAGCTGAGAGATATAATACCTCAGAGAGATATAATATCATGGGTCTTCTCTAGGATCTCTTCCCATTTGTGAACACTGTGAACACTGACTCTATCATGAAGAAGGCTCAGCAGCGCCTTTATTTCTTGAGGTGCCTCAAGCGATGGGGCTTGTATTTCTACCGCTGCACCATCGAGAGCATCCTCACCAACGGGATCACCGTGTGGTATGGCAACACCTCTTCGCGAGAAAGAAAGGCACTGCAGAGAATGGTCAATATTGCCGTGGTCTCATCGGCTGCGGTCTCACCGAGATTAAACAGCTCTATGAGGACCGCTGCCGTGGTAGAATTCTGGCCATCACAGAGGACAGTCACCACCCCGGGCATGAGCTCTTCACCCCACTGCCCTCAGGCAAGAGATATAAGAGCATACGGACACTTACCACTAGATTCTTCAATAGCTTCTATCCACAAGCAATGAGACTGGCGAACACATTTAGCCATCCCCCTCGGACCACACCTACACCATCACCATCTACCTCTTTATGATTTCTTATCTATTGCACATCTCCAGTCATTGTTTACACGTCTGTATTGTTTACATTCAAACTGTCTACATGTTTACTTGCACATTGTCTATTGTTTGTTTGTACATTGTCTTGATGCACTGTTTGCACTTTGTCTTGTTTTTTACACTTGTTTTACAATCGAGAGACTTTCTGTAAGTAAGAATTCCATTGTACCAGTACCGGTTACATATGGCAATAAAGTTCAAGTTCAAGTTCATTTTTCCAAGCTTTAAGCAACCAAATATTAAACTGTGCAAGGGTCTGAATACTTTTGCTAGTCTTTGTCAAAGGTATATTGTAGGTATCTCTCAGTGAACTGAGATAAAGTGGCTATTAGATTAGCGCATTAAAAAGCTATGACAACAGTTATATTTTAATAATGATAATTCCTTACACTTTCACAGAGCTTTTCTGGACACTCCACTAAAAGTGTTTTACAGGTAATAAAAGGAAGAACATTACATTGTAATAACCTTTCTCACAGTGAGATTTCTACATTTAAAATAACTATACATTACGTGACTAAAACTATAGCAAGAAAACCCAATCTACATATCAGGCATAAGCTCTTGACTCAAAATGGAACCTGTGGGTTATGTTACTGGAAAGGTACGCTTCAGAACTACACCAAAAACCAGAAAAGACCACCAATGCGCTTTGACTACTTAAATGCAACATGAGCACAGTGGTTTTAAAAGATTCATTTTGTTTGACAATAGTCTAAGCTGTTTAAAATAGGTATTATTTGAAATCAAAGTAAAACAACATGCAACTTCAATTACATTTACAAACATTTCCAACATTTATATTAGATAAAGTTTGAGAACATTATGTGCACTAAATCTCTTATAGCAGTCTCTTACAATCCACCACAAAATCCAAGATTAATAATGAAGACTTAACCAGTTTCAAACTAGATAGCCAGACAGATTTGAAAGATAGAATGGGACTGAAAATAAACCTTGCCAACGGATGTGTCCCTAGACCTGTATGTTCAAAGCCGTGGTTACCTAACCGCAAGAGTGCAGTTTCCTCCCTATTTGAAGTGGTTTAAGATGTTGCCCTACCCAGGAATCAAATGTGTGATTAGACTACAATCTATTTAACGGAATATTTTTCTGTTACTTATTTTCTGGTTACGTTCTGTGAAAGAATAGAAATAAGTTTCAATAATGAAGATGTAGAATAGAAAAAGGATTATTATTAGTATAATAATATCTATAATTAATAATGATATTAATATAATTAAAAGAAAAATGATAGAAATTATTTTTTGTAATCAGTAGCAGAGACATGAGTAACACCTTCTGATAATTAAAACATATTTTTTCATAACATTTACAGAACAAAAACAAGAAAGAAAATCTGTTGTTAAATCCACATGTACAGTATACTGAACATCAAGAACACCAAATTTACTGTCATCATCAAGAAACTGATAAAAATGTTTTTGCAGCAGGTTTCCTAAAATTGTATTAAATAGACAAAACATATGAACATTTATTAAACAGATCAACATCAAACTGATCAGCAGAGTATTTGCTGTGAAAGACATAGGATAATAAATAATAAATAATCTTTACTCTTATATAGAGCTTTTCCAGAATCTCCACTCAAAGCTCTTTACAGGTAATGGGGACTCCCCTCCACAAATGTGTGGCCCTACCCGGGTAATCTGAGGGCAGCCAAAGTGCGCCAATACCACAGATAAGCTATCAGTGAGGAGCACAACAGAGTGATGAAGCTAATACGTAGATGGAGATTACTAGGAGGCCATGGCTGGTAAATGTCAAGGGGAAATTTGGCCAGGACAATGCGTTAACACCACTACCCCTGGAAAGTCAGGATCCCGGTTTTGTTTCATTTAAAGGACGGTGCCTTTTTACAGTATAGTGTCCCCTCACTATATCAGGTCAATAGGACCCACACAGACCACAGGGTGAGCACCCCTGCTGGTCCCACTAACACCTCTTCCAGCAATAAATTTACCTCTCCCATCCAGGTACTGACAGGCTCACAGCTGCTTAGCTGTAGTGGGCTGCCAGTCATGAACTGCAGGGTGATATAGCTGCTGGCTAAATAGTGTGTGGCCATTATTGAAATAGTACGCTGTTTATATATATGATTTCCAGAAGGCTGCAGATGCTGCAGTTTGGGATTCCACTCCATTTGCCTTGTAAAATCTTGTTAAGCATACAGTGCCTCTGTTCCCTCGTATCTGAGCCCTAGTTTCCTCATCCCCCCAAGCAAATCGCAAATGTTCAATGGGCCTCAAGTCTGGTGAGCAGGCCATCCATGATATAACTGTCCTGTTCTCATCTCGCAAGCAAGCCACTGTTACACACGTGTGAGGATGTGCATTGCCCTGCTGGACGGTTGTCACACCAGGGCAGCAAGTGAAATCCCCAGACTTGGTCTGTGTGGCTCCATGCATTCAGGTTGCCACCACTTAATATAAAATTCTAGACACTCCTGCCCAGATTATCAAGTGTTAACATCCCCAGCATTCCTTATACTGCGTCATGATGCATCATGACTTATGGACTCTCAGATTGTAGCCTACTGTTGATGGAATTTGTTTGGTTATAACATTTTGACAGGTCACAAAATGTATGGGTTGATACAAACTCCAATATAGCAATTGTATGAAGGCATTGTTCTCTTGATAAGCATGGACATATTGGCTCCTTTCTTTGTTAACACCAGGCTTGGAATTAAACAGGTTAACTAGATCATTCAATGCCCAAGAGTCAAAGTCATTTGATTATAGATGTTAAGTCACCATTATAAATCATCAGTTACTCAACATTCTGTCAAAAATATTTTAAAAGCATACTGCATGAAGTGGCACATTGAGTCATCTCTGTCAAGGAAAGAGGATTGTTTCAGAAGTTCAACATTTATGCAATGTCATCTCTGTCAGGGAAAGAGGATTGTTTCAGAAGTTCACCATTTATGCAATGTATACAATATATAAGATAGTAATAGATAATGTCTTCAGAACTCGCTTCTGGAAGTATTTTGAATGACTATCATATGTTAAGAATATATTTGTGATTTGGAATTGCCATTGCTCAGTCAGCATACTACAACCCTCTTAACAGTACAGGGGTGATGAAGACTTTGCACCCTTTCCTCCAAAATGTGCATATATCAGGATTGCTTTTTTTCAGTGCCTGTAGGGAAAAAAGGGTGGATATGAGGAAAAACATAGCTCTTATTGATAATACAGTAGAGTCATAGTATTTTGAAAAAATTGCAACTGTTGTTGCACAGGAAAAGAATATTCTAGACAACTTACATCCACACAGCCATGGCTGTGCTCAGTTAGCTGAGTCCAGACTGAGTCCATATTTGAACATATATACAAATGTCAGATTGATGAAGAATAAAGATTTGCTTTGGTATTTAAAATCAAATTTAAATAGAAAACACATCCCACTCTCTGCTCTAGAACTACTGTATGTAGGAGTTTTTATGCCCAATTTACCTGATTTCCTTCGAAGAACGCAGAGCATGGTCATTGTCAGCTGTTGCCTTACTTCTCTTGTGATCCTCTGTTTCTCCAGATGCAAGCCATTCCATCTGATCCCGAGGAAAAAATCTTACTTCCACATGGGCTTAATGCTAAATTCAGAACCCTTCCATTATGTGCTGATCCACAATGTCAATTAATGCAGGCGAGAATAAAAGAAAAAAAAATATGTAGAAAATAAAGCATTATTTCTTAAAAGGGAGAACTTTAAGACAGACAGAACTTTACACTCTCAGTTCTAATGTTTGTGCACTAAATGCTTATGAAGTTCCAACCTAGGAAACTGAAAATTGTTAAAGCAGAGAAAATGAAAATACTAACTTTCATGCAAATAAATAAAAAAAATGCATGGGTTACTGTATATATGTCAAATAGAATTGTACGTTTTGCATCTTTCTGAGTTCATGAAAATGTATCTAGCTTGAGGATATCCGTAAAGAAAAAACGCTCATAGTGAGAATCATGAAAGCATCCCTACTGTCTAGGAATGTCTAGGAATAATAAGAAAAAATGTTTTGTAGTTATTTTAATCCAACAGACAAGATTATATAGATCAGAGAGAATATAATCTGAGGCCAAGATGAAACTGAAAACCCCTGAGGCCTCTGGAGATCAGCAAAATACACACAGTCAGCTGCATGTTATTAAATTTCGATCCACTGAAATGAGCAAACACAGAAATGAAATTTGAGTCTTCTGTGCTGTTCCTGCATAACAGTTCTCAGATGCAGAAATAACCAGACAGTAGTCATCATATCAGCCTAAAGTCAGTCAATAGTAGCCATCTCTGAATTATGAGGTCTTATAATTTTATTACATGCTGAATCCTCACTTTACATTTTGAATCCTATACAACATTTTTCTGTTTTTTACTGGCTTTTGAAATAATCTGCACATTGATGTGCATCCACTGCGAAATGTACTGCCAGCTAATTCTTGAAAACCTCTCAATCAGCTCTCACTGCAACATGGTCACCCGAAGGCTCATTATGGATCAATATCACCTTATTTGTTCCCCAGTATTATTCCTGTTTCAGAAATAATGCCATGTGAGCACTTCTAATTCCTAAGGATAATGGACTCACTTCCGTCTTCTTCAAATGACTAATTTTCAGCATGGAGATGTCATGCACAGCAATCTTGATTACTACTGCCCCTCCTACTGTCATTTCCATTTATCGTACTTTAGATTACATCCACAAAGGTTTTTGTAGTGTTTTAATGAGAATGGTTGTGACTCAGAGCTGGAAACAAAGCCCATAGTGGAAACAATACTTTTCAACAGGTAATCCCTTTAAGACGTTTTTGGAGCTTCTGAAAAATCTTTTGGGCTACACCAGGTAAGTTCACTGACGTTTCAGTGTCTACTGTCACACTCACGACTTAACTATGTATATTTAGATAGTCTACAATGAGTTGCAAAAGTATGAAGAATCTTCTACTGTTTTCACATTTTATTGTTTTAAAATATTGGAATATTCAATAATTTATAGTTTAATAATAAATATTTATTATAATAGTATTATTAAAATAATATTATACCATAATATAAAATATAATATATTATAATATAATAAATATTATAAAATATGTATTAAATAATAATAATTTAATATTAAATAGTTTAATAATATATAGTTTAATAATATATTAGTTTAATAATATTGGATAATTCATATTGGAAATTTGGCCAGGACGCCAGGGTTACACCCCTACTCTTTTCGAGAAAAGCCCTGGAATTTTTAATGACCACAGAGAGTCAGGACCTCGGTTTAAGGTCTCATCTGAAAGACAGCGCCTTTCTACAGTTTAGTGTCCCTGTCACAATACTGGGGCATTAGGACCCACACTGACTGCAGGGTGACTGCCTCCTACTGGCCCCACTAACACCTCTTCCAACAGCACCCTCAGTTTTTCCAGGAGGTCTCTTATCCAGGTACTGGCCAGGCTCACACCTGCTGAGCTTCAGTGGGTTGCCAGTCGTGAGTTGCAGGGTGATATGGCTGCTGGGCATATACAGTAGTATATATTTTAAGGATCCATTTTTCTTTTCAATTGCTTAGTTTACATATTCAGCTTGTTTCAAAACTCCTATTACCAGATTGCATAAGATGTAATAACAGATGGATAACTCATAGAAATGTAGTTTAACTTTCTTATCCAATGTGTGATTTGAAACATGTGTAATTCCAGGAAAACTGTGAGGACCAGAACTGATAAGACATTTGACCCCTTTGACAACACAGCAACTGAACTCAGCTAGTCACCCCAGCACAGAGTGACACTATATTATTCCAGTCACTTATAACTGTTTTTGGTGTTTGCTTTTTGTTTCTCATCATAAATATTGCACACTTGAACTGGCTGATTCACTCTAAAATTCACTCTAAAAAGCTCTAAAATGTTTTAACTATCATAGCTGCGTTGATAACACTAACCCATTACCTTGTAGATATTTAGCCACATAGGTATACATGGTAAATATTTTAATCACTTATAAATAATTTGTAATAAGAATAGCCTTGCAGTGTATTGTTGTAAAAACAGTTCTTCTGTGGGAATTTACAATTATGTGAGATGAAATCACTGTGGTGATCTGAAAAGCGTGCCATTGGGAAGGTCAACATTTGAAAAATTTCAAATGTCATCCATTTCAACAAATATATAATAATGAAATATGTCTTGACATTTTGTGTAGATAGGAGATGAGATGTAAACAGTGGTTTTTGACTAGTACTCTAACATAAAACCCACCTTGTGCACAGGACAGAAATATCAGCTCTTCCAATGTAACGTCTTGCTTTGCAAAAGACAGTTGTGCAAGTGTCTCACACATCAAATTGGTGAGGAAACTGAAGACCAATGTACCACTTAAAAATATGTCACACCACAGAAAGACAAGAACACTGTGACATGAATACTGTGTCTGTCAGGACATAGCTCGTATGGGCGTAAGGGTAAAGAAGAGCAGTTTAAATAAAATTGTTGGGGTAGCTTAATTTCAGTTTTTGTTTATTGTGATCTACAGTATATATTATGTATTTCAATACTAAAGGTTTAAAAAACCTCCAAACACGATTAATGAAAGGTTTGCTCTGACAAGAAACTTATTCAAAGCAGGGTATGTGTCTGAAACTTTCTATAGGACAAAAGTCAAAGCATTTGAAACTATGTATTCAAATAATGTTGCTTTCACCTTCACTGTTTTAAACTGCAAACAAAACTTTCACTTTCAATTTATTTTTCAAACACCCTAAAGATCCTATAAGCACAAGTTTGTGTCATTGTCCAGTTTTCATCTCTTACTTCCTATGTGCAGAAATGTATGAAGTTCTGTAATATATGCATTTAACCCCTTGCTTTTTCATAGATATTTATCAGCTTTCCAATAGTGTAACCGTTTCTAAAAATCTAAGTTCCCTCTCTTCAGGCTTTCTATTAAGGCAAGCCTGCTTTCATGCAAATGGAGATTTGCCCTTGAAGATTCACCGAATAAATCACAAATTGCCCTAATTACCATTATGGCATTACTCCTGTCCATGAGAAAGTACGTAAACAAAATTTCCATTAATTTAAGACCTACCATGCATCTCAGCCTTTTTAGTAATGGATGGAAAGTCCCAAATGCTTATTTGGTTCTGAGGGAGACCATGTCCTATTACAATTTCCTTTGTTTGGGGGACCCAGAGTAATGAGCAAACCTGGAAGAGAACAAGAGGAACTTAGATAAGTGATCATTAGACAACCTGAACCACAGTATGAGTGTTTTAAAATATGTTTGATTAGTAAAATAGTCAGGTATGAAAATTGTGCTTCTGTCCAAGATGTCCTCTGTGATTCACAATGTTAGAGTTTAAAAGAAAACTGTCCTGAAACTTTAAAAAGTTTAAGTGTTCAGGAAGGAAGATTTTAACATTGCATACTTATAGATGTTGGAAAAAGCCCCAAAGCAACAAAAACAGCCTATCAGAATCCGGAAAACTATGAAGTATGAAGTCAATATCAGCCCTTGCCTGTGAGTCAGTGGGACTGGACTTGATGCAGTTTCCTGTATGTGTTTCCCAGATTCTTAAAACTCCATCTTTCATCCCCCCGCCAACAGCCACGACTCCAGTCTTCCACGGACACCACGCCATGGCCTATAAACAATAAAGACCATAAATGCCCAGTGCTTTAGGATGGATTTCAGTTTCACAATAGCAAACCAGAGTTGTGAGATCCTCACTTCTTTCTGTGGCTTATATGGCAACACATTGTCACCTATATTCCTTACTTTTCAATGTGTTATTGATTATTTTAACATGTAGGGGTTTAGTGTATGTTTTTTTAACTCTGCATTGAGCTGGAAGTCTGCTTCAATAGTTTACAGCACTGAATCATAAGTCTGTTTAAATAGATTACACAACTGTAATTATTTATGGATTTAGAAAATATTCACTTTCCATAATTAATTAATATATAACGTTGTAAGCTTTACTGTTGCTGATATTCCATTACTATTGTGTGTCTCTTCTTAAAATGTTGTACATAATGGAAAACCTACTGTCCATCAGGCTTTACCTTTACAGCTGTGGGATGGGACATCGACTGGACGGGCTGCTGGGTCACTGTCACTCCTGGGTCATTCGGCCAGATACTCAGGATGCCGTCTGTTGACCCACTAGCGAGGTGGGCACCGCCAGGAGACCATTTCAAACTACAAATACCCTTCCTATGTCTCAAAGTGCCCACATGGTGGTGGGCTATTCTGACATCATGGTGACAGATTAACCCTAAAAGTGAACCGCTGCAGGAAAAGAAGCAATCGGTCTAAGCAACATTCTCAAAATTTAAAAAATTAAATTTCTTTACTATTAGATGAACGCCATCCAGTCAGCACTGCTTAAAACTTTTTGAGGATTATTGCTATATCACCTAGAACTAAAAGTAACAGTAATTTAAAAGAGTAAAAGTTACCTCATCTATACCAAATACTATAGTAAACCACACTAAAACATGGTGATAACATATAAAGACACCATGGGATCACACCTGAAGAAGGCCAAAACATTGTGTTTTCTTTCTTTTTTTTTCAGCATGGAATAAACCTATTACTTGTTCCTTTGCAGCCTACGCATGCTGACGCAGCTACCCACCTGAACTATAAGGACACCATTTCTGACATTTTTAGTGATACCGCTGTGTTTATCCATCCACCAATTTTCTAACTGCTTCAACTAATTTAGGGCCATTGGACACAAGGCAGGGTACACTCTGGATGGGACACCAGTCTGTTGCAGGGCTGAGAGACTCAAACACAGACACACACACATACCAGGGACAATTTTCCCAGAAGCCAATTAACCTGCCAGCATGGCTTTGGACAGTTGGAGGAAATTGAAGCACCTGGGGGAAAATGTGAACACAAGAAGAAAATACCAACTCCATGCAAATAGCATCCAAGGTCTAGAGCTGAACCCAGGGCCCCAGTGTTACAAGCCAGCAATGCTAACCACTGTGCTACCATTCCCATCCCCATGCTTAAATGAATAATCAAGAATTTGTAACTTAAAGTAGGAAACAAATATACCAACCTATAGGCAGGTGATAATATTGCCAAACAGATGGACAGGAAATATTCTCTAACAGTAACATAGTTGTAAAACCTGAAATAAATAGGTTCTGAGACAATAATAATGAAAGAGGATGAAAAAGAAATAGTGAATATAGGAAAAAGAGTGAAAAAGAAATAAATGAATATTTCATACATACTTTTAGAATAGACTACAATAATATGCCCTGTGTTACAGAGGGATCACCATCAGTATTAGGCAATTCTATAAATAACTTACACTTGGGATTTACAGGGGTGAGGATGATTTAAAATAAAAAATATTTCAGTTGGACATGTGGGATGTTAGCCCTAGTTACGACATTTCAACTTTCACTCAAGATGGGAACCGATCCCACAGATTAGAGAACTGCAAACATAAAGTCAGTTAATAAAAAATCATTATTTTGCACATGGAAACTATAGAAAAACTATCTTCTGTTAGAAAAAGCTATTGCTAAAGTTATGTAAATGATAGAGCTAAACTAAAAGAATACATAAGAGACAGGTAATGGGCATCTTGGAAGGAAAGGTTGTGGAATAATCTATAATTACCCATACAAGCACTAAGGAAAGTTGACTCATTAAAGCATACAATATGATATATTTAGATTTCCAGAAAGATTTCGATAAGGTCACTCAAAAAATCAAATTAAAAGCTATAACAATACAAGATAATGTATGCTTGACATTATCAAAAATTGGTTAATGCACAGGAAACAGCATGGGACATTGCATCTAACTGGGCAGATTGAAGCAGTGGTGTACCACAGGGATCTGCTTTAGGTCCATAACTCTCCCTGATATATAAAAATGATTTAGATTTTGGTTTAGTTAGGATGTTAGTTCAATTTACAGATGCTACAAAAATAGGGGGATTGGGAAGTACAGAAAAACAGCAAAGGAATGACACAGTCTCTCATAAACTCACCGATTGGATTTACAGATGGCAAATGAAAAAGGAATAAAAATATTTGGGTATATAGTAAAATATATACTGCATATTTCAAATCAAGGGAATTTCTGCTCATGATTAATAAGACCTTACTAAGAAATGTATTCAGTTTTGGTCATCGCAGTGGAAAATCTTACACTGGCAAAGTCAAGCTCCAGATTAATATCTGTTCAGCCTACAGATCACAAGTGGAATTAAATTAAATTAATCAGAACACCTCAAGAATAGGCAGGATCTCAAAGAGAATTAGACAAAATCTTGATAAAGTGTTTTAAATTCTTCCAAAAAGTAGATGGCCTAGGGTTGACACTTTATGATAAAACTGCAGGAAGCCAATAGATGGTTAACCAACACAAAGGACTATTACCAGTGATGTACTACTAGTATGATTGCATAAGGCCTCAATGAATCCCCACAGAGGTTTGGGAAATGAACGTTCTGTAAAAACCATTGTCTGCACCTAATGGGTAGGATGTACAGTACCCAGCAGAGTTCATTCAGGATAAAGCACATAACTACAGTGTAACATGAAGCACATCTCTTGAGAGTGTCAAGGCTGCACATAACAATGTGAAACATTCAAATAATTACCTGCTGAGAATGTGGTTATTCCAGCTCAAAGCACCCACTACTGAAAGGTGTCCAGTCATGTTCCTCAATCTTTTTTTCCTTTCTACGTCCCATATCTAAAAATAAACAAGCAATAATTATCTTTTAAAACTTGCAGATAAATATTCTTAGCCAAATTTAGAAATACCCCTTAACACTAAAAGTAATATAAATTTTTAAGGGCAGCCCATCTCAGGGCAGAATTCTTATTATTGTTGTGTACTTTTTTCACCTGAACAGCACCATCACTTGTACCAATTGCAAGGAAATTGCCATCTTCAACCCAGGAAACCGAAGAAATATAGCTTGTGCCTGGTTTCAAATGGATACTGCCTTCCAACATGTGGGTTTCAGCATTCCATATATAAGTTGTAGAATCCAAAGCCAGTGCAATCAGGTTTGCAGAATTCCAGTCAAGCAGGTTTAAGTCTGTAAAATAATCACATTGATGAACGATATTATTATGGCTTGATAAAAGTGACTCAAGCGAAAATGTTTTATTTCCAGTCTGAAACCACATGCAGAGACACTTCAGACCATAAATTATGGTGATCAGATATTTAGTAAGACCTTGATTCTCTGACCTTTCTCTGCTGCTGACCTTATTTCTTTTACCTATGTCATGTAGAACATTTCATGACCACAACAGTAATGGAACAGTTAATATACTTTGCACTTTACCTGAGAAACGTAGAGTACACTGCAAAACTATTGGGTCCCTTTAGGTTTTTAAAGGAGATACTGTATTTTAATTATTCATAAATGTTCAACCTGAACAGTTTTATGAATAAAAGAAGTCAAATGAAAAAAAAAACTGCATAAGTATTCACTTCCTCTGTTTTGTTTTGGAAAATTGCACAAAATGACTTTGACAAATTACACAGTTACCTGAATGGCTTCTTTCTGTGCGCAATAATAGTGGTTCACATGATTTCAGAATAAGTATACCCATCTCTATAAGGTCCCTCAATCAGGTAGTGAATTTCAAGCAAAGATTCCAGCAAATGACAAAAACAAATCATTGATAAAGTTGTAGATTGGTGCAGATCAGGAGAAGAGTATACAAATATTTATTTAAAAAATCTTTAATATATTTCTGACCGTGGTGAAGTCGATCTTGAAGATGTGAAAGGCACCCAGAGTGTGCCAGACAGGCACTCCAAAGTATATAGCATGATAAGGAGGAAAATCAATATCAATTATCTTTGCATGAGGTGATCTGGTCTAAGACAAAGGGAACATTTCTTAACAAAAAGCACAAACATAAAAAACCGCGGAGTTAATTCTCCATGAGGTGTTTGCACATCTTACAGTAATCATTCCTGAGTCCGCTGATGTTTAGCTGCAAGTCCAACTCTAAGAGGGCACAGCTACTTCTGTAAGGGCTGGTCTTAATGGAGAAGGGCCCCAGGCTGTTGCTTGAGCCTGTAATGATATGTATTTGTATACTGTTCAAACAAAATGACAAGTATGTGCACATGTTTTAAAAGACTGATTTTGGATGGCAGTTGAATGACAGTAGCTTTGGAATTAATTTGTCATCTAAGTCCACAGTTGTGCTTGGGTAGAGTCCCTGTGGTCCTCTGCACGTTTAGTTTTTCCATTCACACATTTTACTTAGAACGTCATATACAAATGAAGGAGACAGTTAGAGTTGGGTGTCATGTGAAGTGCCTATAAAGTAAGGAAAAATGTGTTCAAATGTTATTAGTAGGGGAGTGTGCTGAAATGATTAACATTTCAGTTAATTTATTTAAATGCTTATTAAAAGAAATAACTTAAAGGTACTGTATATAATGTATATAATTAAAAAGGTCTGTGCCAGACTCTTTACACATAAATATACTCACGAGGCCATCACACAATGAGCTCATTCAATCTGGAAAACAAAAAAGTAAGTAGCACTGCTTGCTCACATGTAGCGAGGCCTGGGTTTGACCCTGAGCTGGAGCTCCTTCTGCGTGGAGCTTGGCTTGTTCAGCCTGTATTTGTGTGGGTTTTCTCCTTCCGACTCGTAAGGACATGAAAGTTAGGTATAATTGGCTATTCTAAGATATCCCCACTGTGTTTGATCCCTGGTCCTCATTATTTAACCAAATGTGACTTTAACTGCTGTATCATGATGGTCACATGTCCAATGTGGGCAGTCAGCTATATGACTCTTGGGCCCCGACCCTGATTGGGTGAAGACGTTTTGAAACCCCTGCCCCTGTGCCTGGCCAGACCTGTCCTTCAGTTACCAGTTTCTTCACATTGGCTATAAATGCTGTTGTTCATTAAAACATTCTTTTCACTTTTTCATATTAAAAAAAAAAGTTTTTCATCCCTCTCGCAGGTACAATTTTGTCCTCTCCTTTTATACTTGTAATTTATTATGTTACACTTTATTTTAGTATACTTTCTAGACCTTATGACCTAGCAATTTAAAATTCTTCTGATTGTTCTTGTCCAGGGTCAGACACTGGAAACACAGCTCAGAAGCCATGAGTGACAGACAGAAAATGTGATCAGTGACTCCAGTAAGGTTGCAGAACTATGCAGAATAGAAAACACCCTGATTAAGACCATTGCTTTTGTGTGATCTCAGAAACCAGCTGGAAACTGTCAATAAGGCAGAAGTGGAGCATCGGACACCCAAGGAGATCCATTTTATATGCATTTATAATTGCATGTCCCTCCCCATCTCTCTTTCCAGAAGTGAAAAGGCAGGAACTGCACAAGGGTACTGAAGTCCAAACTCAGTAATTTTAGGAACAGAGAGTTGTGTTTTTATAGGTGAGAGAACATTTGTTTCTGATTAAAATCCACCAAGCATCTGATTCAGGCAAACACACCTCCCATTTAAGCAAAAGATCTAGACAGAAGACCCTAGTAAAATGTCTTTTCTTGTGCAGAAACCAGTATCAACTCCCTTAACAATTGTTTGTCTCATATGTAATGTTTCGTTTTTATTTTCTAAGTCTGTCTTTTGTGTATTACTCTACCGAGTAAGTAGTAGCTTTTAAGTAGCTTACTTAAAGTAAGCTACAAAAAAGAAACCACTTAGCAATCTTCAAAATCATTCATGACTGTCAGAGAAGTTTTAAGAACTTTGATTATTTGTTATATTGATTAAGTCAAGTGTAAGAATTTCTACATTTAAACTTTCTCTATAACAATTAATGTGAATGTGAGCTATATCAGTCAATATTACTAGACTCTCCACCCTGAAATTTCAAGCACTACATACTTCTAAATTAGTCATTTTGTTTTACACCGACTGGAAATAAGAATGCCTTAAACTGAAATCAGCTGGTAGCAATGGAAAGAAAAAAGCATCACCCTCCTTCTGCACAAAGGCTGACTTTCGAGATGAATCGAGGTGCGGTTAACCCAAACGTCTTTGAAAAATGTTCTCAAGGGGTCTTTATTCTGTACACATCTCCTGCTTTGGTTTTATTTTAACATCAAACACCAGACCCCTTAAATACCACAGGAAATGTCATGTCCTGTTGCGAGCTGTTTGTCCTGCTTATCTGCGTCTCACGGTTGCAGTGCTATAAGAGTTACAGCAACATTTTGAAACTAAGTGCAGTTATTTAATTGCATCATTGTGGCTTTACATTTTATGATACAACAGTTATTTCTATTCATGTCATGATACACCAGTTTTACCTCAATGCTCCCTTTTTTTAAGGGCTGGTCTATTCTAGTTTTGCTGGTCCATTTTTAGATTATTTCTTGCCTGATAATGTCTCTCACTCTCTTCACACACACCCATACAACTACTTTCCATGATTGCTGGCAAATCAGAAGACACTTGACCTACAAACATATTTCACTGGCTGCCTGTAGGCACACAAAGGATGAGGTTATTAATTAAAAAACAACCCTTCAACCTACATCTAAATAACGTACATAAACTAACTTCTAATATATTGAAACATCAATTCTCAAAATACAAAATCCATATAAAAAGCTAAATGTATATCTAATGTATACAGTATGTCATAATGCATATATGCATATAATATATATAACAAGCAAGTTATAAAAAAATATATTAAGCAAGAAATATTAATTTTTTATATGTCAGAACCTGGGAAATACATCACATATAACTAAAGATGATAGAACCCTGCAACCACAAGCTACAGTAGCTATGGCAGCTCTCCAAACACTAACCGGGATGAAGATTGGAAACAAATTATATTAATAGTTTATAACCCCCCCACACACACGCATTTTTCATACTGATTATCAGATGTAGAAGTAGGTTCTATATTCCATGGGATGTATACTACAAGCTTTAATTTTTTCTTGTTAAAAAATCACCTACATTTTTTGGGGAAAAAACATGGATCTTGCAACTTTAAAAAACGTTTTCATGAATTCGAAAATCATTTTGCCACACTGGGGCTTCATGTTTAATATTAATTTACTGTATGACAAAACAAAAATGAAGACTATTGGACTGATGCTTTCATACAAAGCAAAACACAGTTGCACCCATTCGAAAACTATTAGGTGGCATGGCTTACTTAAGGCTCTAACAGAAATGCCTCACCTGGAATTAACACCCACCACCTTCCAGTGATTACTCCTGAACCCTAAACGCTAGGGCACCTCAACAATCACATAAGCACTAGTCATAAAGTCAGTTTGACACAATACCAGCTCGTTGAGAAACTAATAAATAACAGTACAATTTTGGGTGGCGTGGTAGGGGAAGTGGTTATCATTCTTGCCTTACTGTGCTGGGGCCCTGGGTTCAATTCCACACCTGGGTGGAGTATGCATATTCTACCTGTGTTTGCATGGGTCTTTACCTGGTGCTCCAGTTTCCTCCCACAATCCAAAGACATACTCGCTTGTAGGTAAACTGTCCCTGGTGTGAGTGTGTGCATCTGTATCTGTATTTGCCTTGCCATCGACTAGTGTCCTGTCCAGAGTGTATACTGCCTTGCGCCCGCTACTCGCCAGGATATAGGATCTGGCTCCTCCACAACCCTTCATTGGATACAGAGGTTAGAAAATGGATCTAAGTACAATTTTATTTACATTTATTAAGGACAGGCTGAGAAATGCCTCATCCACTTCCCATTATGAGGAATGAATCCTGTAGTATGGAACACTGTCACACACAAGCTTCCCAGAGTGCACAGCTTCTGCCCCAAGACAGACTTAATGAATGGAACTAGAAGTAACTATAAGGAATACATGATAAAAGCTAAGGGCTTTGGCAATTTCACTTTCATATGTTGTACTATTAGGCTGATATCTTCTTCTGAGAAGCAATTTAAAGGCATCAAACGAATATCAACTCCACCACCTGTATTTTATCTAAATCTTTCAAGCAAGATGGGCTAAACGGGCATTTATTTTGTTCTCAAAACTTTGTGGTGATGATGAAGGGTAAGAGGGTAACTCTCAGAAAGAAGTTTCAAATACTGCAGTAACTTTTAAAAGAAGCATCACTAATATTGGTTAAGTATACCTTTCTTTTTTTAATTTGAGTAATTACAATTAATGTTAATTTAAACTCTACAAAACAAAATATTTTACAAACAGGAGGACCCATTCATTTCATCTGGCTGGCTTGGTAGTAGCTAAATGATCTGAAGATGTCATCCATCATTTTCTTTTCCCACAACCCAAGTCACAAACCTTTAATAAAGTTTACACACATTCTTGTAGTTTTTTCTAGATCGGTTTTCTTCTCAGGACAGCTGTTCAACAAGTAGTCCTGTAGGGAAAAAAACACAAAATCCAGTATTAGCAGCAAATCCAGTATTAACAGCATGCTAAATTATTTTCTCAGTCAACGGATAACAGATAAAATAAATTTGCAGAGCAGTGCTACAAAGTTCAGCCTCCTATTGTGACCTGTATTGAACAACAATTAAAATGAACCAATAATTTACTATACTATGATTCTCTGATTCTCTGGAGCCGTGATAGCTCAGATGGCAAGGGTGTCTAGCTCCTGACTGGAAGGTCCTGGACTCAATCCCAGGTAGGGGCAAGTGACGGAGCTTGCTCTAATTCCTTCCAGACAGCTCCCAGGTCCACTCAGCCTGCTTTCCAAGTGAGTACCGGGGGTAAGGCCGGCTGGAGCGTGATGCTGACCACATCACCTCCACTTCCAGTGTTGGATGGTTGAGAAAAACCCTTACCCCCTATTCCCCCATGGGCCTTTATGGCCTGAAAAGGGACCTACCCTTCCTACTATGATTCTTTATCCATCCATTTATTAACTGCTTTATCCGATACAGGGTCGTGGGGGGTGCGGGAGACTATCCTGGCAAGCAACAGAAAGCAAAGCAGAATACACCCTGGACGTAAAGACGTCTATTCAAGTTTTGTATTGTAGTATTATCAGTCTTAATATAATGCTCCCTGCATTGACCCAGGTGAACTGTGCTACGCACGCATTTGACCAGCATGCTACACTTCTTTAATTCCATAAGGGGGATATAAAATTCTAATTTCACATTATGAATTTTTAAAAAACGGTACACTTGATCATAAATTATCCGTTTTTGTTTTTTTTACCGGTTAAAATGAACTCAAGTTTGGATTGGTAGCGGCCTCTAGCGGCAGTAACGGAACTGAGAGGCACTGGTTTATCTGTAATACATGAAAAAAGCCTTAGGTATTGGGAAAGTGAAGTGAAATGTGGCATATTTGTCTTATACTATTGAAATTTATCTTTCATATGAAAGAATATATACGAGGCAAAAGTACAGAATATCAATTTATTCCTGGATATTCTTGTACATACATGTTAAACCATGTTCAAACAAAAAAAAAGTTCTTCCCCTCCTGGGTTTCAGGTCAGCAATAGGTTTGGGAGAAATAAAGTAAATTAAACTAATGTATCTGGTCACGTACTGTATGCCTTACATGCACTGACTGCTTCAACTCCAAGATGCCTTGGCCAGTTAAAAGGTTTCCACTTCTTCTTCCTATTAAACTCCTTGATTAAGCATGCAGTATGTTTTAGGTCCTTGTTTTGCTGCAGGTTGAATTCTTTGTCTGGAGTTGGGAGACTTTTTAATGGTCATGGGCAGACAAGATGTGTCTTTACACTTCAGAATTCTGTGCCGGTCATTATCACTTACATCAAAAGACCAGTGAGCCAGTTCCAGAGGGTACTTTCCATACTGAAACAATTAAATCTACCTGCACAGGTGAGGCTGTGTGCCTGCAGTCATTAGCAGTTCCTTTCTTAATCCATACTTTTACCTTTCTGTGACTTCAATAAAGACTTCTCTTATTCTTGTCTGTCAAAAAACTCTGTTGCAGAACTGTTGTGCTTCATCTTTATAATTCTAGTCTGCTGTTTCTGTTTTTAGTGCTGAAGAGAGGCTTGCATCTTTCAGTGTAGTACACAGGGAACTAAGACTTTTACCTGTACTCTGCAGATTATCTACAATTTCTTTGGCTGTTATTTTAGAGTTTAACTGCACAGTTCTATTGGTTTTTCCTGTCATCACCTTGTTGTCTTTCTTGGATGACCTGGTCTTCGCTCATTTTTATACTCCTTCAGTGGTTTCTTTTTTAAAAGACATTTCATGTTGTTGATCCAGCTTTTCTGCAATGCTACAAATTGTAATCTTCTTTGTTCTCATCTTAACAATGTTTTGCTTTTCCATCATAGACAACTTTGTAGTCTTCATCTTAGTTTATGCCTTTACATACACAACTCTTGTATCGTCTCACAATAAATGCAACATGAAATACCTGAGCAATCAAAAGCGCCTGTGTAACGCATTCTACACGCACGCATATCCACGCGAACCCGCTTTCACAAACGCTCACGCCGTCAGTGGTTAGCCTATCACTTTTCCCTGCATTCACTAGTTTAGTTCCCCTTTTCCTCGTTCGCTAGTGTGGTTAGTCTCCCTGGGCTTCAGTAGTGTACGTATTTCTTCAACACTTTTCTCTTTTTTTCCCCCGATTATTATTGACCTTTGTCTGTTTCCTGGTTTCTCGCTCTCGCTTTACGTCTTCGGGTTTGTTTGCTTCGTTCTACTGCTCTCTACCGGTTTGGGGGCTTTTTTTTTTTTGCTCGTTTTTTGGTTTGAAATTTATGCCTGATTGTTTTGGGGCTTTGCTACTCCCCTTTTAGCCCTGCACGGGGTCTTTTTACTCTACCATTCCTGACAGCCGTTTGTCCCATTATTTATGCTCACGTGAAATGGTAGGGGGGGATTGAAAACGGATGATATTGTCCTAAGATGGTTAAACATATATGCAAAACAATACCCAGACACAACAGCAGTAATTCTATACTTTTGCCTCATATTAATCATTTGATCAAAAATACAAACTTCATTGATAGAAAGCAAAAATTTAATTTCAATGTCCCAAAACTTAGGCTTTTAACTCTATAGCTGATTTTAAAGTATTAATCGTCTAAGGGAGGGATTTGATGTCACAGCCTCGTGGGTGTAAGTCAGCTATTGTATGCTCTGCCCCAGCAGGTTTTATGGGTCACACTGAACGCAACAATTTTTAAATACCGGGAATACTTTTATTTGACCACTTAAGCATATGTTGAAATCTGGAAGTTCTACATGTGAAGTAAGATTGTATGTTCAGCGCCTCCACAATGACACTTTTTATATTAACTTTTCAAAACCTCGGGACAGGTATTGCAGTCACAAGATATCCTTTATAAAAGAATTAATCGATTTCAGACAAAAGATGTTTATTTTGATTTTCCTAAACAAACCACAATTAGCACTAACATACCTGTTTCTTAAGAGGTGTAGAGGTGGTCTTTGAAGGGTCCTTGCCCAAACTGTTGTCAGACTCCCTTACATTATTATCCTCAATTTGAGGCGTGGACTCTACGAGGACAAAATACACATGTGAGTAACTATCACTTTTGCAAACACAAGTCCTACCATATTCATGCTGTATGTTTGGGATACGTGAAACGTTATTTAAAGCACGTCTGAATGGGACCCACAATGCAGGGCAGATCTATAATAATAATAATAATAATAATAAACTTTATTTTATATAGCGCCTTTAAAGGTGGCTTCTCAAAGCGCTTTACAGGATGACAATAACAATAAATAAGAAGACTACAACAATAAATAAGAAAATTTCACAAGACAGGACATAATTATAGTTACAACAATACAACAATAACAATAGAGGAGACCGTGGAAGATGGTATTAAGAAGAGCAGAGGGGTGAAGAATGGGACCAGTTAAGTAAAGGCTTTACTGAAGAAGAAAGTTTTGAGTCTGGATTTGAAGGAGTTTAGAGAAGGTGACTCTCTAATATCCTTGGGTAAAGAGTTCCAGAGCTTGGGGGCATAGCAGGAGAAGGCCCTGTCGCCCATACAATGTAGACGGGCTTGGGGGACAGTAAGGAGGGCAGAATTTGAAGAGCGGAGGTTGCGAGGTGGGGAGTAGGGCGATAAAAGTTCAGACAGGTATTGAGGTGCCAAGCCATGTAAAGCCTTGTATCTACAATGTAGATCTACAATGTAGAAACGTAAGCTTTCCAGAAAGTCAAAATAGTTTACAATAAAATAAAAACTGGACATTTATTTTAGTCACCTATTTTGAAAAAAAATATCTAAAAGGCACCTTGACGTATTATAGTCGGCTCGGAGTCCACCAGGGTGAGCTGAGACTTTGAGCTTCCTTCTGGAGAGAGGTCCAGAGACAGCCTTTGACAAACGGTGTCGTCGTCTACAGTGTAGGAATGCTGCCACCCCGTGGTGACAGGGCTACTCGCAATGGGGTAGCCGCGGCGTAGTTTTTTGACAATTCTGCTTTTAAATCTGGTGTATGATGTTTTAGTGCCACCGGTGGTCTAAAAAGGAAAGAAAAGATACATTTTAATAACTGTACCGAAAATGTAATACTGCACTGTTTGGTATAATTTGTAATGGTAGAATTTCTTAATACTGTAGAAAATATGTTCATTGGTTGTTTTTACTTGCCTTGAAGCTATGTACTGTAGGTGTCAGCGTTCATGGGGGTTATTAAATCATGTGATTTAACTATATAAAGAGAAAATAAGGGAAACGAGAGGATTTTTCTCTCTTTCTCACACCCGAAGAAGGCTCCACAGCCGAAACGTTGTGTTTCTCTTCTCTTTTCAGCATGGAATAAACCTTTACTTCTCTTCAGCTCTGTCTCATTCTTCAAAGTTTGCTATCCCGAAATTGCAAACCTTTGATTTGGTCTCAAGCTGCAGCGTCTCAAAGTACACTTCAAACACACCATTCTGTGATCACGGTGCCCTAAAAGGGTTCTATCGCCTCAGTTCGCTTTCTGTCTCAGATATTTGGAAACACTAGATCCATACAATCAATCCAAGGTGCTCGGTAAAACAACAACGGTTAACCGTGCTGATCATTTCAGTTTCTGTTGCTAACATTGCTCAAAGATTGTATCCCATCTGCGTGGGTAAACTAAGTTAAAAAACGCTGCTTCTTTTGCACAAAATTACGCATAGTATTACGTTCGTTACACAGTTCTACATTGGAATTAACATCTGCAGTTGTTGGGCTATAAAATATTCACAACAGTAGAACATTAGAATTGTTTATGCGTCTGGCCTGTATATACAGTATATGCTTTCTTAGACTCTTATCCCACTAGGTTAGAGTCTGAAACTGAGTACTCTGTGATATATAGTGCTACTTCACCCACTAGCGAAATCAAGAGTTAAATAGTAGTTATCGACAAGTCTGTTACAAAAACATTGGGCGCATTTCTTTGCTGAATGGATTTTATGCCATTAATGTGTAGGTCCATGGATGAAAATTACAATACAGGCCACAGGAGGCGAATCCTTCTCTTATTTAGTAGCCTGTTCATCTTAAACTTCCGTGTAATCTGATGCATCTTCCAGCTCTGTTGCTGTTGAGCCAGGCAGCACAGCTCCTCCTTGCATTCCTCCTCGACATTTAGACGTGTCTTGCACCAAAATGGATACCCTGTCATCTTATCCTTTAAAAAGTTCGGTTCCAAAAGCAAGAATGTTTCTTGTTTTATTTACGATGACGATATGCACGGCGGGTTTATTTTTATTGCAGAACAAACTTTTCAAACCCCGAAAAAATAAAGATTTTTACTCTTTAGAAGTACGGGATCTGAGAGGAAGAACCGTTTCTTTGGAGAAGTACAGAGGAAAAGTAAGCTGCAAAATATGCAATTCGTTTTGTAGTGTAATTCCGTGTAATTTCATAAATGGGACATTTTAATATAACTTTGACTGTCTATTTAGGCAATAATTTCGAGTATTTTTCATTATTTTGGATAATGCCAAACCTTTGTAACGGAGAAATTTCCAGTTTCCTAGAGAGAATCACTTTCGTTTTTTAAATGTATGCAATTAGAATCACTATATTTTTCTGTTTTGAATCTTTTATGTTGTTGCACAGTTACAGTACGATTCTCATGAAGTAAAGAATGATCGATACATTAATTGATTGCCAGTCAATTAATTTGTTTTACAGCATAATCATGATGTAATATTATTAATCAACAGGCGCCAGCAATAATATTACTACATTGGGGCAGAGTTCACTGTGCCTATAACTGTGCTATTTAAATAACAATAGGGCAGTCTGAGGTTTTGCGTATCTCTCTTGCCTTAGTAGCATTTTAAGTCAGCCTTCTGTATTTGTCAAAGCAAAGTACTGTCTGCTGCTTTTGCAGGCATCACTAGTTGTAAACGTGGCGAGTCACTGCGAACACACGGAGCGGAACTACAAAGCCCTTCAAGAAATACACCGAGAGCTGGGGACCTCTCACTTCAACGTCCTGGCCTTTCCCTGCGGTCAGTTTGGAGACACCGAGCCCGGGTCAAACCGGGATATCGAAGCTTTTGCAAAAGCAAATTACGGCGTCACTTTCCCCATTTTCGGCAAGATTAAGATAATGGGTTCAGAAGCTGACCCTGCTTTCAAATACATTACAGGTAGGGTGAATTATTGATTATTATTATTATACTTCACGAGGTATCTATGAGGGCAGCCAAAGATTGTGTGAAAGTATAATCGATTTATTGAGCTTGTTGAACCTGGTTTAACTCGCTTAAGTGAGGGCCAACCTCCCGGCTACAGGACAGGAAGTCTAGGACCCCCATGTCCGGTGAAAAGGCGATCAAGGTGTATTTGCAAAGGGTGAGATGGGGTATATATATGAGAATCTGAGAAATTACGTAAGAATTAGTTACAGTTCGTTGGGTGCGGAAACTTGAGTTGGCTGGCTGCTCTCATCCCTCCCGAACTCTCCTTAGGACTCCATCAAAGGTTTGCTAGAGTTAGTCATTACTCACAAAGCATGCGTTAATAACTTGCAATTTATTGAATGTCTGACTTAATATATAAATGGAATACACAATCCATACATAAAAACTCGAGCAGGTTTTGTGGTCTCTTTAAATATTCAGGTTCTTAAGAACAAGGAAAGGTTTCATTTAGGTAAGGGCTCTAATTGTAACAAAAGCAGAAACTCCCTGGCCCTCCAAGACTGGGGTTTTCACACTGCCGATATGAAATAGAATACATGGTATTCAGCTATATCTTGTCATCGAGTTAACAGAGTTGTCTTTTTAGCAATTGTGTGTACAGTTCAGGTTCTTTAAGACTATTGCAACACTGCCATAGCCAGTACACCAGAACAGAGATTTGCTGTGTGAACTTGGACTGTAAAAGAGTATACAACTAGTAATTATTACAAGAAAAATATCAACAAATGCATCTAATTGAATGCCAACAACAGGGTACCAAACTATTGCCTAATAATTGATCTTTCTGGTCTTAAACGATCTTTTCTTTTAACTCTAAGGCCTTATCTTAGAAAAATCCCTATGTGCCACATCACTACTGTACAATTGAATTTTTTGTGGGGTTTTTGACCAATGATCCAAAAAATGTATTTTGTTTTTATCTTCAGGTTAATTTTTGATACTCCTACATTATTCAGATATGGCCGAAAAACATAAGAAAGATTCAAAGTATTATCTTTTTTTTTTTCAACAGACTCGGTACAAAAGCTTCCAAAGTGGAACTTCTGGAAGTTTCTCATTAACCCGGATGGACATGTGGTGAAGTACTGGAAGCCTGAAGAACCCATAGAGAACATCAAACAAGAGGCTGCAGCTTTAGTGAGAGAGATCATCCTGAAGAAGAGGGTAGAGCTTTAAAGGTTTAACACGGCATCCAAAGAAGAACTTTGTGTGCCTTATTCACTGCATCGCAGAAGGCCTTTTCCTTCACTCTGTTTGCCAAGATGAGTTGTACATTTCATTTTTTAATCGAGACGCATATGGAAATGTTTTGTGGCATATGGAATATTTCCGAAAGCAACATATGTACATTCTCACAAACGATTCTTTGGATATCTGGTCCAGGTTATCTCTGTTCACAATTCTGACCAGTTGTGGTGGCCCACCTTGTGCTTATACCTGAAATGAAATGTTTTCAATAGAAAGTGTTAATTTACACTTTGGAAATGTGAGTTAAGAATTCAGTGGAGAGTGTGTCTCATGTGTGGTTGTGTGACTTGTGTGGTTGTGTGAGAAATTACAGGTAAACTGAAGATGTGCTTGGGATCACAGTGACCAAAGTAGTCTTTTTCTATAAAATTGTAAAAAGTGTCATTACTGAGATATTTTCATTGTTCTGCAAACCACTGTGTTAATTATAAATGCCATTTTTGTATTTGCAGTTTTGCTAAATTGTACATTTTAAGTAGAGTTAAAATATAGGTGTGAACTAAGATTCCAATGATGTGTGTTATTGGTGGGATTGAAAGTGATTGATTTTTATTTACTAGAGATTTGTTCCTCCTTGTTATTAAAAGTGAAAGAAAAGGTTATACTGTAATTTGACCAGTATAGTTCGATTGAAATCTTTTAAGGCTCATCAAAAAGTCTGATGTTTTATTTGGTTCTATAAAATGTGGTTAATTCATTTTTGGGGAAGAAACCAAAGGATTCATGTTTAATGTTTTGCATTGTTAAGTTATGTAGCAATTCTAATTTGAAAGCCAATTAAGCCTTTCACTTAATGAAATATGTATCAATACTTTGAACAACACTTATGTTTGGGTTATTCATAAGATGTAGATATTGTTGGGTAAATCAGGGCAGATTTAATTTCTTTGGTATTAAAATGTGGAGCTCTAAAACATGCTTCATTGTGCCCCTCAGGGACATGAATGGAGGGCCTTGTAACAGTAAATACAACTAAGAGAATCGCTGTAAAGAGTGATTTATACATGAAATTATAGTTGATAAGCAGTTATGCACTGCAGTATTCGGGAACTGTAAAATTTCAGGTAAATTGAGTGTTAAAATTAGAACTCAAGTCACTCTTACAGTTTTTGTCACCTTTAACAAAAGGAGACTGCTGACATTATCATAGTTATCAATTTGTGTTGGTGATGAAACTCTGTGCTTACTGTTAAGGTTTTGCAGTTTTTGGATTAATTGGACAGATGAAGGAAAAATCATTGGGATTTTTTGTTTTATCACACTAGATTGAATTTATACATGATAGGCTTCAGGAAACCCAAATATATTATTATGTGAAAAAAAAAACATTTCAAGTACTAAAGGGGTGTAAACTACTTCTAGTGAAAATGCAGCTACTTATGTTTTTATATAGCAAGACTGGAGAGATAAAGAGAGCTATTCGTTAACAGATAACATCTGCATTGAGTAAAACCAAAGACTGTAGGGCATTTACCTCTTTGGTTATTTTGCTGGAGTACATTGTAATGTCTATTATTAAAGTGTCAAACACTTTACCTGTTGCTAAAATTGTTCCCCAATTGATTAATTAAAATTCCAGAGGATATGAATTGAAACAAAAACAATAATAATTGTTTTGCTCATTGTATTTTTCAATACATATAATCCATGGAGACCATTAGAAAATAGTACTGTTAGGAGCACTCTATTGTTACCTATTAAATATAATTCCACTAGTTTGAAAATTATTGATTATTTGTTATCAGTATTCAAATATTGATCTGATAACACAAGAGGATTTGCGAATCAAGACTGAGAAAAGACGTCTTTTCAATCTGTTCAAACATAAAGTTTATGGGGCCTAGATTAAACTTCACAGCCATGATATTGAAGCAGATTTCCTGGTATCTTTCAAGAAACGGATGTATGACATTTTCAGATCAATAAGCTACCAGCCATCAAACAAGACAGAAGAACCAACAATTTGTTTTGTATAGAATAGTTTCTAAATTCTTGGAGCAGATCTGAACATTTTTCTGTCTGACACAGATAATCTACCTTTAGTTTCTCAATAGCCTTAATAAGGCTACTGATCTTTTGAAATAATTAGCAAATAACTGGATTAATTCCCAGGATCTACCAGCAAAGCAGTGAGCTAAATGTCTGAATTGCCTCCTATTTTTGCAACCTTTTTTATGTTCATAATGCTGTCATTCTTGTTTTTCACAAATTTCTATCAGAACCTTGCAAAAAAACACATAGAACTCATACATCAGATTATGAATGCCTCCTATTTGCCAAATCAGAAGAATCCTGTTCCTTGAAGCTTTAATTAAGTGAAATGGAAATAACAGCTACAGCATTTCATAAACAGAATTAACCAAACACAGAGAAAGGATATCTGTATAACACTCAAAATTGTTGCCTAGTCCATACTGTACAGTATCTACAGTACATCAAAGGTCATATACAGTAGAATAATTTTTAAGTAACTTAACATAGTAATACTAATACTATGTAATATTAATGCATCACTTATGTCAGTAATAACCTTCCTAGACTGGAATCACCAAATTGTTAGTCATCTTTGCTCATCACTACCCACCCCCACCCCCCAGGAAGAACAAGATTTTGCGCATAATGTGACATGTCCTGTCCTAGTTGCTCTCCACGTGAAATTCTGCAGCTCCAAAGTAATTGGCAGCAGAGGTGACGTTAACCGATGGAGCAATGCTGGCTCTCTGGTGGCCAGCGTGCTCCAGGGGTTGGACAGCAGGAAAATGATATTATGTGCAAGAAAAGCCCATCCAGCCTTGACAGTTCTCGGTCCACCGTGCTCTGTCTCAATCCTCGTTCACCGTTGGATAATTGTGCAGCCTGGCCAGACGACAGGGCTCAACTTGCACACTCAGAACGTACAATTACTACATGAGCCTCGGATTTTTTGAGTCATACAATACAATACTTGTGTCTCCCCAATTAGAAGTCACAATTTACTGCATTGCCCTCGGCAAGACATACTGTACTATTGAATGAAGACCTTAATGTCAGATTGTTGAATTTGAATTTGTGAAAGAGCACACGCCAATAAAAAATACATCTAGCTACTAATTAAACTGATGTTTTGTGATGATAAAGTTTCTTAAAAGCATTTTTCTGTAATTTTTTATAAAACGTGCATGGCATGTACTGATGTGGAAGTGCACATAGCTGCTGTTTTGTAGTTCACAGCCAGCTATTGATACACTGCCTAATCATCACACACGTTTGTTGCTGTCTTTACTGAAGATTTAAAGCACACGTCTGTACTACTACTATCGGCATCTTCTCTCATATGACAATATTATGTTAGTGTACAGATGCAATGTACAGAAAATCCCAGTAAAGCAGTGGCATGAATACATCTAACTGCAGAGCTTTCTGCAGACTTATATCTAAGAATAAGACAAATGTAGTAAAAGAAAACTTACAGGCAAGTTATACTGAAGTTCTCTATGACAAAACATTACTTAAGATATTTAACTAAATCAGAGGTTTTTCACAAAGTCTGTTTTTGTCCATTGATTCGGTTATTTATATGTTAATCTGTAGTCAAATGTAATACGTGAGTTTGCATGTTTTCTGAGTACTTTTCAAAACCACAATGGTTGGAGTATGGGCAGCAAGAGGGCAGTAAAAAAGTAAGCTGGTGAAATCAATTAAACCAGCTAACATTTCACTGCCTCCCAGCCACTCACGATCACTGGTAAGATTTGTTCCTCTGGCCGTTGAACTGGCTGCTTCCAAATGCGCGGTGAGACAGCAGTTGAATTGTGAGCTGGTAACAGGTTTACAACCAGCTAACGCTACACTGCCTTCTGACCTGCACACAGGTCTTCAGAAGGATCACACTTCAGCGTGCTCTGATGACTCGTTTGCTCTGCAGCAGGTGGCAAAGTAGTAGCGGCTGCTTCCGACAGACACAGCAGCCAGCTAACAGTACACTGCCTGCCTGACACAGGCACTCCTGAAGAAGAAAGAACTGGACGTGACATTTTCAGACTGACGCGAGTGTTGTGATTTTTCCAGCTTCCGATGTGTTGGACCTCCATTTTTCATGCATCTTAGTACCTTTAGTGCCCTTCTTCTTTTTCCTAAATTAACATATCTGCTGACCAGTATTATACTTCCTAGACAAAAATATATCTGTACTGCTCACATTCTATAGAATGCCACTTCTCTATTCTTCAAAGACATTTCTCATACTCACTGCCACTTTTTTAAATGTGGTTTACAGATGCAGGCTTTGGCACCATACAAGTGTCAATCTGGGTACAACTAATAAGCACTGACATATAACTTGAGGGAAAAGCTACAAATGTGAACATGGGTTGAGCGGTGGTATTGATTGCAGCAGGGTGGAGTGTAGCCAATAGCTGTCAAAAACACAACAGCCAGCAGCAGTACACTGCCACACTGATACAGTCCAGAGAGCAATGCAGGACAAAGGCTCAAAAATGTTACACCTACCAGGAACTGTTTTTACTGTATTGGAAACATCCTGTTATACCAGTGTAGACCAACCTGTTTTGTCCAAGGTCATAATTTAGAAATTCACATGGAATTTGAATGGTCATTCCAGTGCTGTCAGAATAATTGTTTACTCCAACAAAGTACATGCATGATGTATTAGTCCAAGTGTCTCTGTCGATCACACAAGTGAAAATTAAAATTCTGTGCTCATCATTAACGAATATCTCTTTGCTGATAATATGGTCAAAATAAACCGCCAGCTTTATTCCCTTTTGTATGACATGACAGAAAAGATCATTTCAATGTTCTACTCACATGCCATGGAACAGAATATAAATAGCATTCTCTTCAAACATAACAGCCACATAATGTTAGCTTAAATTTTAAACATTCGGGTAAACTCCTACCTTTCCAATCTTGAGAGGATAGTGTCTCTTGGTCCTTATGAAATCTTTAGCAAACGTTTTCATAATCGTTTCCTGTGTAAACACAAATAACACGTTTCGCTGAGAAGGAGTAGGTTGGATACAATACAAATTATGTTGCCAAAAAAGTTGTTTGCAAGAGAACAAGAGTTTACAAGAGAAATTGTGTCGCTCTTGTTGTATTTTATGTATACTATACCAGAAATCAATTTACATTATCTTACCCATACAATGGTGTCATCCGTTTTGATCTTAAAACGGGAAATTCTCTCCAGCTTCCATTCCATTTTTAAACAGAGCTAAAACTGTAATCGTGTTTAAAAAGTACTATATTTTCAAGAATATGAACGGATTTTTAAAATAAAAGTATGTATATACTTTTTAAGAACACGTTATCTTTACACGGACGTACTTTTCTTCTAAATACTTCGTCGTGGTCTCTGCTGTCCCTCTCACCTATGTGAAAACTACATACTGTCCTACCTCTTCAGGGGTACCTTTAAATATGCAGTACAGGCGGAACGTGGAGCGGGAATCACCTCGACTTTCCTGCGATTGGTGGACGGGCAAAAGGTTACGTCACCCAAAGGAATTCCCTTAGTGGAATGCCCCCCATTGTGGACACCCCTAGCAACAGCTGAACGCGCTGCCGGTCTCCGTAGAGATGCAGAATGAAAACTCGAGGAAGGTGTCTAATTGCACAGGACACAAACGCGCCAACTTCAATAAGGCAAAGGCGGGTTTTGATCTTTTGCGGTTAGAGGAACGTTGGAACGTTGTGAACCTACCACCTGTCTATAATTTAGCTGATCTGAGTAGGAGTGGAGGAAGAGCTGTAGTTTAGATATGTATAAATGAAGTAAATTCAAATAAACTACACAATGATGCTGTATCCTTATTGCTATATTCTGTAATGATTTTTATTATTTATTGAGTTGTGTTATTGACAGTACTTGCATACCTCTACCAGGTAGTCTGAAGTTAGACAAAACGTAATTTACGATACTCCAAAAATGAAAGAAACAAGACGACAGCAATCCACATTTTTCCCAGTATCCCATAATTGTTAACGGAGACATCCGTGCCACGAAGTCGTTTACTATTTTGAGTTACCACCTGCCATTGACACATGTACATCCACTGCTCTCAGACTCAGTGTGTGAAACAGGTGCTTTCAACTTTCAATGAGCAGCAACCAGATGCTGTTCATGAGAGAAAAGAAAAATAACGGCACTGAACACTAACTTTTTTAGGTTTTAGCACCGCGTTGTTCTACTTAAGCCTACAAAAAAGCAATTGTCGAAACAATTATAGTGTCAAGGAAGGTGAGAAAATCATGTACAGTTTATATCTTCTATGTAGAAAAATGTTCTTGATAGATACACAGTAACGCTGTAATAATAATAATAACAGTCGGTGTATTAGTATTATTATTATTATAAATAATAATAATAATAATAATAACCATTAATATTAAGTATGCTTTTATAATCCTCTGATATAAAAGCATACTGGCTGTACTGGGACTAACTGCCTTTGCGTCCGCTTTGAAGTGTTTGGCCCTTGTTGCCGCGGTTACCAGACCTACCTCGCAGGTTGAGTGGTGTGGATGTGGCGGGGCCACAAAACCGGGAAAAAGAGGGTCGTAACTGCCAGTTTCCAAGCGCCTTTCCCGCAGTCTTGGCGCTGGTTGCCAGTCTTAACGGTCAGAGCTGTCAATTACAAACACCGCAATTATGAGCCGCTGAACAAAGGTCTGGTTGTGGTACTCCGTGGCGAGGAAAAAAATGCTTTGTTGGAGATGCACTGCAGCTTCTGTCAGCAGCTAATTCGCACAGTCATTTCTATAAAGGTGCATTGTATTGTTTAGTTTTAAACCCCACTATTTGAATGGAAAGGCTACAACGAACGACGTTTCTCTTTGTAAGCTGTAGGATCGTTATCAGCCAAAGAAATATTGTTTCTGTTAAGTACCGGTGACCATTCGACAAAGTAACTATTGATAGTACAAATGTTACCTATCTGTTGTAAGCTGTGAGCTCCCATGTGTTTTTTTACCCTGTTTTTTGCACATGTGATAACACTAATTCTAAAGATAAATTATACTTCTGTCCTGTGCAATAACAGAATATAAGATGGTTGTATAAACATAGAGTATTCGCACACTCAATCATCCCGTTTTTTTTTTGCTGAACTGGTCCACAGTTTCCAAATTATTAACCTTTAAAGATTTAAAGCTATCTGTAATTCCCACAACACTTATTTTAGATTATTAAAAATGAAGTACTGTCAGCTCTCTGCAGTCTTACAGTGATGCTCTCGCAGGGATCAAATAGTAAAGATTGAACTAGGCAGCTGCTCTTAGGCTATTTAGGTGTTCATGGATGTTTTTTTGGGGGGTTGAATATTATATTTATTTGCAGCGGCACAGTAGAGGTTGTAGAGGTACACTGTACCTTTCTAGGTACTTTTCTTTTACTTAGGTTAGGTTAAGTATAAGGAGCAGCAAGGTATTCAGATTCCATATTACTGTGGAGTGTTACTAGTGTAATTGGATACATAAGTCATTTGTCCACAAGGTGGCAGTGAAAAACTATTATCGCACACTGCTGCTATTGAACCAGAACCTACAAAAACCTATTGAACCAGCCTACAAAAGGACACCTAAAGACCCACAGAGAAAAACACTGGAGCTCCCTATTGTATAAAAATCATTGTTCTCCAGCAGCAGGAATAGAAACAAAACAGAAGCAGGTTAGGTTAAGTATAAGGAGCAGCAAGGTATTCAGATTCCATATTACTGTGGAGTGTTACTAGTGTAAACAATACTAGGAGAAACCTATAATTTCATGCTTCAATAACTGCCTTAAGGTTTGCTAAGACAGTTTGGAAAAGTTGCATGGTTTCTACATGCTAGTTTTTATAATTATCTATTCTGTCTCTCCATAAATTGTTTTCCATTTATGTGGAAAAATCTGCAGTTCACTGATAAAGCAGTTATTTATATTATGTGCTGTTGTAATTTATTTCATTTTAAAGGGGTTGTAACTGTTTCTTTATTTCTTTTTCTCCACAAATTGTTTGTGGTAGCTTACCCTTCCAGATGAAGCAAAAAACATATGAATACTCGGAGACGTCTTAGAGGATAACATTAAGAAATCAGGTTTGCACAGATTTTATTCAATAAAACATTATTACTAGGCTGTCTGGCAATGTGCATTGTTAGTCAGCCTTCTTTGCACACTTCCTCTACAAGTTTGCCTTTAGAAAAAATGGTGAGTGCAAATTGCACCCTATACACTTCTTCTCTTAAACAGAAAGCATGAGCAGAAGATCTTGTTTGAATTATTCTTATACTTTCTCTCTCTTGACAAATGGCTTTACTAGTACAGGACTCACACTGAACTAGTCTGTGACTTTACTGAATATCAGTTTACTCTTCTTTATCCATGATTAGCCACAACCCCCGACTCGTGAGGTCATGATGGTATATTCATTAACAAACTTTAATCACTGAAAGTGACTTGTATGAAAACTATTGCTCAGTTTAGGTGACAACACAACAATTCCAGATATAAAAACAATGTTCCAAAGAAAGGAAATTCCACAAAGCTAATACTTAAAACTGTAATGCTACATGATGTAAGCCAGGGAAGCTACATGTTGTTATTTAAAATAATTGTTTGTGTAATCACAAAACATAAATTCAGAGAACAGAGCATGAAAAAAAAACAGAAAATGGTAACAACTGTCTTTATCTTTATTATCAAAATTCTTACTAGCTTGGTTAATTTATCATGAAAACCTTTATCTCAAACTTCAGATAGATGGGTCATGTTTGCTTTTACATGCTATCCTAATGTAATGAGGTCATTAGTAATGCTATGATCACCTGCAATTTAAATGATAAATGGAACAACCCTTGATGGGTACACAGGTTTGTAATTGGGGCCTCTTTAGGAGGCAAATTCAATTAGAGTTTTTCAAAGATGTCAAAGGTTTGAACTTTCAGTTTCATATGAATGCATCACCGAGTACTTTTTACTCAGAACCTCTGCTTTGCAGTTTTACAGCTGCAAAAGTTAGGCTCATTGCATGATGATTATTTTGATCATAATCAATAGCATGTCACAAAGCCATGCTATGAGCAGTTGCAACTTTAGAAAAAAAGAATTTCTCACAAATTACAATGGAATAAAATGTAACATTGATGTCAAATAATTAGATCTTGACCTGAATTCATAACAGCGTTTGGTAGTTTGATATATACCATTCCAGGAAGCAACTTGGTTAAAATCATTACTTTATCTGTGCAGATGAGGAAACACTTCTACAAACAATTGAGTGAACATCTCTCTTCTCCTTGCATGTTCAAAGTGTTTTTCTTTTCATGCACAGTATTTCTTTTATCAGGTTCATTGATTTAGCTTTAGCATCAACCTTGTTTTCTAGTCCTATGTACTTTGCCAGAGAGAGACAGGAGCAACACACTATAAATAAATGTTTTAAACAGTGCATTGCACGTGTTAGAGGCTGTGTGCTGTAGGATTCTCTTAGTTGAAATAGTTTTGATTTGAAATGTCTCAGTTTAGTGCTGAATTTTTTTTAACAAAAAAGGTCTCCTATAATTATTTTGCTACTTTAAATCATTATTAAAAAGATAAGCCAGAAAAGATTCTAAAAATATTCAGTCTTTTATATAATTCAGTCACACAGCACTGAGTAGTATTTGTAATCTTCATCATTGTGATTATTATTCATATTAATAAGTGGTGCTAAAACTCTTTCTGTGATAGGAATGTATACCACCTTAAATTGCCTTTGTCAGAAGGGGAAGTAAAAGTAGACACTGCACTTTTTTAAAGCAAGTGAGTTAAAAATTAACTTTGGGGTCTTCTTTTGAAAACTGAGAGTTTAAATCAAAAGTGAATCACTCAAGCGTGAAGCAACAGACTGATCTCCTCTTCCACAGAAAAAACGAAAACAAAATCCACCTGACCTTGGGTGTACACAAGCTATAATCTGTGTACATTTTAAAGGTCTTCAGCCAAATCAGTAGTAATTTAAATATCTGAACTGTTAGCATTGTAAAAGTTGATGACTAAAAGCAAACATTTTTCTGATGCTTTAAATTAAAGAGAGTTGTGGCCTTACAATGTAATTATATGTTGCTTCTTCCATCCATCCATTTTCAAACCACTTTTCCCAATTCAAGGTCACAGGGGAGCCAGGGCCTATCCTAGCCAACAAGAGGCACAGGGCAGACACACAGGGACAAACACAGACACACACATTCACACACAGGACCAATTTTCCCAGAAGCCACATAACCTACCAGAATATTTTTAGACTGCAGGAGGAAACCAGAGCACCCAGAGATGAACACAGGGGAACATACAATCCACAGATAGCACCCCAGGTCAGGAATAAGAATA